TATATATATATATATATATATATAACTGTGTATAAAGGTGTGTGAATATAGAAGCGAAATATTATATACATGTACAGGTATGACATAACAATGTTGATGTAATGACTGTAAGGTGTTGTAGAAGGGAAAAAATAATTTTAAAAAATCTGCAAAGGAAAAAAAAGAAAAGGCAGAAAAAATGACATTTCTGCCGTGAAGGTTACCTGCCCAGGCGCAGAAATGAAAATCAAGATGCCGCGGATAGAACCGGTTCGGGGGCATGGGCAGCCGCGTTACTACCTACTCAGCCGAACTGGTAGGAACCCACCTCTGGGAAGGAAAGAGAGGATTGCTCATTTTCACCCCTTTTTCCCGAAGTCTTCCGAAGGCTGTTATTTCCTCTGTGGATCACCTGATTTTTTCCGAACCGTTTTGGACCGAGCTCAAACTCGCACCCACGTCCGGAGGCTGTGTTGTGTTTTCCCATAAATGCCGTTGGAAACTACTCCGGCTGCCCTGGCATTGCACAACCCGGAGGCCGTTTCCAGCAACATGGCCTGGAAAAACATTCAAAGCGGGAGGAAGAGGAGGAAGGGAGGAGAGCAGCCAGGGCAGGAGTTGGGGGTCCCTGGGCTCCTTTTCCAGCAGCGCAAGGACCCTCCATGCAGGAGGAAGCAGGGGAGTCTCTTTCTATAACAAAAGAGAAAAGAAATAAGAGTATCCGTGTGATTTTTTTTCCTGCTGTTTTTGAAGGAAAAGGTGGATCTTGCTAGCTGGATGTGGGAGGCTTTTTGCAGAATTTTGGGAGAGTGTAGCAGTTGGAAGAAAGAGCCTCAGGCTGGGGACGATGGGAGGTGTTATCAGAGGAGACTGAGGTGGTGAGTGGTGGCAGGCTGTAGCTCATACATGTGGGAGGGTGGGAGAAAGAGAGAGAGGAGGGAGGGAGAGACGCAGAGAGAGAAACTAGGAGAGAAAGATGAAAGGAAGAAAAAGAAAAAAGACAGATACAGAGAGAGAGGGAGAGAGAAAGGAGGGAGGGAGAGACGCAGAGAGAAACAGAGAGAGGAAAGAGAAATGAAAAGATGAAAGGAAGAAAAAGAAAAAGATAGAGGGAAGGAGGGAGGGAGGGAAGGAAGGGAAAGGGAAAGAAGAGAGAGACGGAAGGAAGGAAGCAGATAAAGGGAGAAAGAAAGAAAAAGGGAAAGAGTTGGAGGCAGCTTTAAAGACAGACAGAGAGAAGGAGGGAGAGAAGGAAGGAAAAGGGAAGGAGAAAGGGAAAGGGAAAGAAGAGAGAAGGGAGGAAGGAGAGAGAGAGAAAGGGAGAAAGAAAGGAAAAGGAAAAGGGAGAGAGAGAGAAAGAAAAAAAGGAAAGAGTTGGAAGCAATTTTAAAGAGTGAGGGAAGGGGCGAGGGAGGGAAGGAAAAGGGAAAGAAGACGGAAGGAGGGAAGGAGAGAGAGAAAGGGAGAAAGAGAAAAAGGGAAAGGGGGGAGAGAGTTGGAAGCAATTTTAAAGACAAAGAGAGATACAGAGAGAGGGAGAGAAGAAAGGAAGGAAGGAGAAGGGAAAGAGAAAGAAGAAAGAGACAGAAGGGAAGAAGGAGAGAAAAGGAGAAAGAAAGGAAAAAGAAAAGAGAGAATTGGAGGCAGTTTTAAAGACAGAGATACAGAGAAAGAGAGAAGAAAGGAGGAAGGGAGGGAAGGAGAAGAGAAGGGGAAAGAAGAGAGAGAAGGAAGGAGAGAGAAAGGGAGAAAGAAAGGAAAAAGAAAAGGGGGAGAGAGAAAGGGAGGAGAGAGAAAGAAAGAAAAAAGGAAAGAGCTGGAAGCAGTTTTAAAGAGAGGGAAGGAGGTAGGGAGGGAAGGAAAAAGGAAAGAAGAGAGAGATGGAAGGAAGGAGAGAGAGAAAGGGAGAAAGAAAGAGAAAGGGGGGAGAGAGTTGGAAGCAATTTTAAAGACAAAGAGATACACAGAGAGAGAGAGAGAGAGACGGAAGGAAAGGAAGAAGGGAAAGAAAGAAGAGAGACAGAAGGGAGGAAGGAGAGAGAGAAGGAGAAAGGAAAAAGAAAAGAGGGATTGAAAATTGGAGGTAGTTTTAAAGACAGACACAGAAAGAGAGAGAAGAAGGGAGGGAGGGAAGGAGAAGAGAAAGGGAAAGAGAAAGAAGAGAGAGAGAAGGAAGGAAGGAGAGAGAGAGAAGGAAGGAGAGAGAAAGAAAAAAAAGGGGGAAAGGGAGAGAGAGTTGGCGGCAGTTTTAAAGAGCCTTCGAAACAACTCGGCCAGCTTTGCATAGCCCTCTGCACAGGCTCAGAGACGCTCTTTCCACCCAGCCACACGTGGTGGGCAGTCTTCGGCTCGACCTCCCGCCCCCGTTCCCCGCCCCGAGCCGAAGAACGGCCGCCAGAACCGGGCTGGACAAGGAAGGGAAGGGAAGGGAAAGGCGAGCGTCCAAGCAGGGCGATGAGCGACTCAGCCGAGGCTGGAGAATACATCTCCCGTCGGGAGATCCCGCGGCTCTTCGAGGTAGGTCCTGCGGGCGGGAGGGGGTCTCCTCCACCGGTGCAAGCGAGCCCCCTCCTCCCGGATGCCTGGGCTCGCCTCTGAGCATGCACAAAGCGCCCGGCGCGCGGTCTGCATAGCTCCGGGGCGCTTTGGGGAGTATCCAAAGTTTCCAAACTTTGCGCAGGACGCCAGGAGGGACGCGGGGGGGGGGGGGAGCCAGTCTGGCCAGAATACCCAAGATGGGAGGCAGAGGGTTTCTGAGGATAAGCAGAGCGCTCTCAGGGCTGCCAATTCGGGCAAAGGTGGTGGTGGGAGCTTCTTCGGGATGGGCAAGACTGCCCCTTAATTCGTCTGGAGCCCGGGTGCCAACGCTCCTTAATAAATGAAGTGGAGACGGGAACGCTGCTACAACGGGAGGGGAGATTGTGTGCACACACACACACACACACACACACACACATTCACGTGGGACTACCTGGAAAGATGCCCAGACGGCTCCGGACACGTTGAGCTGCCAATCCAAGCAGAGCCAAGGACGTTTTTGCCCGGGCGCGGGGCTTCCTCTGGCGCGACCCCAAACCTGGCTGGCGAAAGACTGGAGTTTCCTCCCCCCCCCTTCCTCCCCATTGCATTAATGCCACTCTGTCTGGGGTCCTCTTTGGGCTGGTGCTGCCCTGCCCCCACCTGTTCTGCAAACCAGGCTGGGTGGCTGATGCCACGGATGAAATGAATGTCCTGGGTGAGTCAAACCATCAGCTGGCATGGAACAATTGGGGCACAATTTTGCAACCAGAACTGAGGAAGTTTGAGTCCCTGCTCCTCATGCCTTCCACTTTGCTTTTCCCCTTCCCCTCCCCCGCCCCCTGTAGAACCTCCAGCTGCTGTGAGGTGCTATCTTAAGCTTTCCTTGGCCCTGATTTTTTTAACCTTGCTGAATACCACCCAAGAGTGAGGCTGGGGGGTGGGGGTCTTAACAGCATTATGGACCCCCCAGGAGAATGATTCGCAGGAATAAGAATGTAAATGGTCGATAAATAAAATTAAACATATATTTATCAGTGCTATCAGTGCTAAAGTCTATTAATGCATGTTAGTTATTAACTTTTAAAAATGCAGTGAAATGTAATAAATATGTTGTATTTATATGATAGGGACATGGTGGCTCAGTGGCTAAGGAGCTGAGCTTGTCGATCAGAAAGGTCGGCAGTTTGGTGGTTCGAATCCCTAGCGCCGCATAACGGAGTGAGCTCCCGTGACTCATCCCAGCTTCTGCCAACCTAGCAGTTTGAAAGCACATAAATAAATGCAAGTAGAAAAATAGGAGCCACCTTTGGTGGGAAGGTAACAGTGTTCCGTGCACCTTCGGCGTTGAATCATGCTGGCCACATGACCATGGAGACGTCTTCGGACAGCGCTGGCTCTTCGGCTTTGAAACGGAGATGAGCACCGCCCCCTAGAGTCGGAAATGACTGGCATGTATATGCAAGGGGAACCTTTCCCTTTCCCTTTTTAGTATTAATTTAAAATGCAGTAAAATGTAATAAATATGTTGCTGTATTTACAAGGTGCATTGAAGGGTTAACATTCACAGATTAGTATGGGGCCCCCTGTGCTCGTGGGCGCCCACAGGGCCCCTGAGTGAGGCAGGTAGCCGTGATTTTCAGTAAAAGGCATAGCTGGTTCGCCATTCCCTGATTCCAAAATGTGAGATTAGATTGCCCGAAGTCGCTCTTGAGACATCCTATGGACAGATAGACTGCCTCTCCCTCAGGAGGCTCTACTTAAAAGGGACCAAGAAAAGAATAAGGCAGATGGTATCTCAGGCCAAAGTCAAATGTTTTGCTCAAGCTTCCTGATTTTGTTTCTTTATAGCTTTTATTGTCCCGCCTTTCAAGACCAGCTGAGTTTATAAACAATCTCCAAGAACAAGAAAAACAAAACAAGGAGAAAAAGTTTACACAGCAGAGAAATGCCTTAAAATGGGCCCATCACAATTTATAATCTGGGTTGGAAGGCCACAGCCTTCTGCTCTGTTAAAATATATATTCCATTTACAGCTAATATTTGCTGATATAACATCCCTATAAAGGCGTGCTCTCTATTCAGCTATCCCAGCTTACAGCTTTTCATTTCTTTTCATGCTTGTCTTTGCTTTTATTATTTTTACAAATAATTCCAGGCGGCAAACATAATGAGGATTTTTTGCATCCTCGCAGGATTGTTGTTGAGTTAAAGTGGGGGGGAAACTCCCAGGTAAATGTAAAGGCTCCCCTTGCACATATGTGCTAGTCGTTCCTGACTCTAGGGGGCGGTGCTGATCTCCGTTTCAAAGCCGAAGAGCCAGCGCTGTCCGAAGACGTCTCCGTGGTCATGTGGCCGGCATGATTCAATGCCCAAGGCGCACGGAACGCTGTTCCCTTCCCACCAAAAGTGGTTCCTATTTTTCTACTTGCATTTTTATGTGCTTTCGAACTGCTAGGTTGGCAGAAGCTGGGACAAGTAGAGGGAGCTCACTCCATTATGCGGCGCTAGGGATTCGAACCGCCAAACTTGCCGACTTTTCTGATCAACAAGCTCAGTGTCTTAGATGCACTGCATTAAACTCCCAGGTAGGAAGAAACAATAGAATTAAATGCAAGAAATAACAGTGGCAACCAGCGAAGGGTGTATGAAGGCCAGAGACCTTCCCCACTGGATTTTCCCACAATGCTTCAGAGGGATGCTACACCCCGAGGCATTCTGGGGTATTAAAAAAAGTGCTGGCTAAATTCAGTTGCGCATTGTCTTGTTTAGCTCAGCGAGTCCCTTTTCTCTTCGGACAATTCTGCAGAGCAGTCTAAACAACAAGGGTGTGTTTGTACATAGCAGCATCACAGTGCAGCAAACGTCTCCATGGCTAATCCTGAAAGCTGGTTTTGCAATGTGTTTCTTCTGGGAACTTTTAACAAAAGGGCGTGAGAGTCGTGGTTTTCAATCCGGTGACTTTCAGAGCAGTGGACTTCAACTGCCTAGAATTCCCCTTTTGTCCACTGGTTTTAAAATAACTGAGACTGCAAAACACTAGGCTAAAATTTGCATTTTATACCTCCAATTAACACATCTCTCCTTACAGACATTAAGAGAAGAGATTGGACTGCCAAGAGATTGGGCAGGGGGTTGGACTAGATGGTCTACAAGGTCCCTTCCAACTCTGTTAATCTATATCTATATAGATACATAGATCTAAATCTAAATCTAAATCTAGATTTAGATCTATCTATCTATCTATCTATCTATCTATCTATCTATCTATCTATCTATCTATCTATCTATCTATCTAT